AGAGAGTTCAGATTCTTCACTTGCAGGAACATGTGTACTGGCTGGAAGCAAGGCATTGCCGGCAGGGCTGAGTGACATTTTCAGGTGGATCAAGTTCCAGACTCAAAGGCACACCCTGTGAACAACTAAATAGGGAAGAATCTTTCCGGAATTTCAATATCTCCTAAACAGCTATTAACTTGTTTATGTTACTTTACACAAGGTGTGTAGTTCACAGTCCTAATCAGGGAGTGATTTTACATACTGCTGTGTTCCATCTGCCTCTGTTCTCATCTAGCTTCATTATTCCAAAGTACTTATCAACTAGAAAGAAATTCAGACATCTTCATCAAGGAGATCAAATTTTAAATTAATTTCCATGAAACCTATCATTTGTAAATGTGTTAAGTAAACACCAAGAGAAGATTTATCACTTCAGATTTCAAGACATTCTGTTCCATGCAATACTACTGAAATGCTACCGCCTCTGCCACAGAGGTGGCACATAATTGCCACCCGTAGCACAGAGCATTCACTGTGCTCTAGGACGCTGCTCAGAAGAATTTGAGTCTTGGATAGCTGAATGAAAAGAAAAAATGTGATCTATAACGTCAAACACAGAGAGAAGAATATGAGATGACAGTAAGTATGTGAATGTATTTACTTTTTGTAATGGGTGCTAGATAGCTGAACTCCTCCTGAAAGGGTTATTTGGTATTGTAATAGAAAAGCAGTGTTATGCAAGGATAGAAGGGATTTGGAACAAGCCATTACAGTGTCTAGTAGGTGATTTTCAGAAAGAAGAGCAAATTGAGCTAAGAAATATCTTTTTGTCAGAGGGAAGACAGAGAAAACCGAGGAGGTCTCCTTAGACTGCCACACAAGGCAGAACATCATACAGTCAATCCCATCTGTTCTGCTTTGTACTTTCTCCTTCATAGTGCTCTCCATGTTCATGTGATATTTTAAAAAGCAAAATAATACCTAAGTGCTACATATCATTTCCTACTGTCTGTTTAGATATTTAATGCAGTACAAAAGGTAAAAAGTTCTCTCTCCAAGCAATTTTGGTGTACTTCAGGGTGTTACTTGCTTACCCAGTCAATATTCAGCATAGAAATGAAAGTTTTCAAGTCTCAGATTTCACAGTTTCTCTGCAAGCTTCCCAGCAGCTTGATGTATCACTCAAGTTAGCTGTGCTTAGCAGCATACAATGAAGAAGTGTCTGCTGTGCAGGGACACCAGAACACAATGTGAAAAATGTCTGCATGGCACAGCAGCATTGAGCAAAGGTGAGTGGGCAGCTCAGACAGAGGCAAGCTGCAATTGCTATGCATTCCTTCCATGTCACCCTGCCTCTGATTCTTCACTTCATAACTGCATAGCAAAAACTCATGAATGCTATTTCTCATGCTATTCTTTTTCAACCTCAATGCTTTCATTACTCTAAAGGCTACATACAAGGGCTGCTCTAAAAGTAATGCCTCCTATTTTGTAATGCTATCCAACAATGTCAGAGGTGGATGTTGGTGGTATGGCAGTAAAAGTAGAACCATCCTGCAAATACTGTTCTATTTTGTTGCCATGTGACAGATGGCAGCAGAATGGCATCTGATATATGGAACAAAGGTGTGTCATTGAATTCCTCCATGCAGAAACAGTGGCATCCCTTGACATTCATTGATGCTTGTTCAATGTTGAGGGAGAGCAACTAGTTGATTTAAGCACAGAGAGGCTGTGCGTGGTGCATCAGCAGTGGTGACAGCAACATAAAAGACAAGCCACTTCCTAGACAGCCATGCACAGCTGTCACCTCCAGTGGCTTGCAGGCTCTTGTTCATCATTAGTGAAAGTGCATAGTTAATGGTGGTGTCTGTGTTGAAAAATAGTGTTTGTAGCTGTGAATTTGCTCTATCAAATATTACTGTTATGATCTTTTTATCTGTTATACTTCCTGTGGAAATTTATAGGAAGCTTTCAAAGCAATCATAATGGTATCTGAAGCCTCAGTGTGCTTTGCTGCAACAGACTGTCTTCTTCTGTTACTGAGGATTCTATACAAGTCTAGTTTTAGTGGCAGTTCAAGTTTTATTAATATTTTGCTGGTAAATTAAAAATTTTGAGTGTATAATTCTTAGTAGCACTTACTCAGCACTTAATCATTATTAATTTAACACCATGATTTAATGGAAAGTATTGCAATCAAATACGGAAACTTAATGGTTCAAGACTGGCAAGATGGACCTGGAACATGAAGGGCAATTCAAGCAGAAATTTCTAAACTTCATTGCACAGACAAGGACCTTTTTCCCTTGGTAAATTAGTCCCTTCCTGTTCACTGGCTCTCAGCAAACAATGGAATCCATCCCAGAAGGGCCTCTTTTTCTTTAACACTTACCTCAAAAAAAAAAAAAAAATTCACTGTACTTTATGCAAGATCAAAGCACAATGGTAGTTTATCTGGAGATCACAGAGTGACCTGGGAGGCTGCACTACCACATCTGTTCACTAGAAGCTCTGGTTTGTAATGGCTGTTAAAGAAAATCTGACTTTCTTCTGGAAAGAGGCTGGAATAAATGAAGCGGAAGAAGTGTCAGTGTGCTCTTCAGACTACTTATCTGGGTACCTAACCACAAAAAAACAATACAATGGCTGATCTCTTTCCAGGTGACTTCCTAGGTCTCCTAGTGATGATATATTTGTTAAGAGGTTATTTTCCTTCAGTAATGACGGAGTTTCATCAATTTGTGCCATCAAGAAATTTGATCAAGTTACCATCATGTAAAATATGGAGATGACAAATAGCTTTGTATCACACATTTTTAATTAAGATTAATTTATATTCTCAGTCTCAGTAGAATATCCACTAAATGCAGTTTCTCCCTCCTTCCTTATCCTTCCCATTTTCTTGCAGTTTCTAAGTTCTAGTAATGCTGGGTAGCAAGGTTGTCAACCTTTGCTAAAGTTGTTTACATTTGGTGCTCCAATACAGAGTATTATCTGAAAAAAGAGTACTTTCTGTTAGCAAGTATGAATACAGTGATATCTAGAAATTTTTAACCACTTAAACATATGTGTAAACAGTGACAAGGTGTTTATGTGAATACTCTTCCACCCATATCCAACCCTAGCATTAAACCATATAATATTAGGAAGTTTTTGCTTCATAGGGATTATTCAGTTTCAATTGCTACAAAGGAATATTTTTTTAAATATATCTTCCATTTTATACATTAAAAAACTGTGAGTTCTGGTCTGATATTTGCCAGAGATCTGAGTGTGGTGCTCAGGAACATGATTTAGCAGAGGGTTGTTAGAGTTAGGGTAGTATGGTTAGGTTGGGGTTGGACTTGATGATCTTTAAGGTCTTTTCCAACCTGAGCAATTCAATGATTCTGTGTGATCAGGATATTTTTAAAACAAGAAGAAAATAGGTGAACAATCCATGTTATGACTTAGCTTCTTTTAGAAGGAAGTAATTAAAGAAAAATAATTAGCATGCTGGAAATGGGAGTCAGGTGCGATAGTCACATGACCCTCAATGACCATTACAGAGAACTGACCAGAGCATAAGGGCATTCTATACGGTGGGTGTGAGGAAGGCTGGGGGGAGGTAGTTGTGTGTATGTGTGTGCACACAAAAGAAAAAAAGTATGCCAGGAGGTTTTTTGGTCTGAAAATCTTTAGAACAAGGAGCAAGGGCTTAGAAGAGCTGTGAAGGCTGGCTGGGTGTGATAGCAGGTTTTTTGTGCAGGGTGTTTCTTTCTGGTTCTGCCCTTAACAATATTTATCAGCTCCAAGCAATGAAAATGCATGTATGCTTTTATGAAGGTCTGGACTATTAGAAGCGTGGCTTAATGGGACATATGATCAACACTAAGCTATGATGCATGACTAATGCTGGTTCAGTCTGTTAAGTAAGACCTGCCCATCTAACAATTTGCTTATGAGGTTAAAGGCAGTGCTGCTTGCAGGCATATTTCTACTCAGGCCTGTAACACATCAGTTCTTTCAACTGTGTGAAATACCATAGCTGTTGGCACATGGACTGCCACAAACAGCAGGTTCTGCTCCTCCTGTTTTCTGAAGAGCTTGAAACTCACAAAGTGGTGTGTGAGGAATTATGGTCCCCAAGAGACTGCCTTGTAAAGGCTGTATGTTTTGCATGTTTAGTGATCGGAGCTAATCGTTAATCATCGTTTCTTAATTTCTACTGGCAATGCTTATCAGCTGTGTCTGTGAAACACCATGCAACACAAATATTACTGTTGATGCTTGAGTACATGGACAGAAGATAGTCTTGTTAAAGAATGGGTAATCCTTTGCAGGATAAACCCAGTTGTTCTGAATTCCCTCATTTCTTGCTGTTAATGATGCCTCCTGGCAACTTCCATAATGTAAAGCAAAGAATTTGACTGTGAAATTCAGATCCTGTCATTTGAGACTCAGAATTCTGTCTCAGAAGGTCCAAGAAGCCATTTCCACATTTGGAAATGCTGAGCTGAAGTTGTCTACGAACAGCTGTTTTTGCAAACAATATTGAAGACTTTTTTTCTGCTTTACAATGGAAAATATCTCTTGTGAGCTTGTGTGTACTTATGTTTCTCAAAACATTGCCACTAGAATACAGCATGACTGTATGATTGTGCCATGGCCAAACTCTTTACTGGAACTGCATACTGTGAAAGTGGAAACTTTTGCTTTGTTTTGTTTGTTGTGTTGTTTTTTGGGTTTTTTTGTGGGGCTCTTGTTGTCTTTTACTGTTGGAGATGTTATTCTATGCTCAGCAATCTGTCAGTTAATAATTTGAGGCCAGGTTATTAAACAACTGGACTTCAACTTCCAATTATTTATTAACCTAAAATAATCTGCATTAATCGTGTAAGAAGCCAAAAAGAACTGTAGCCTTTAAGGACACAAGGATCACAGTATTCTCTGCCTGTTCAGGGGGAAAAAAAAAAAAAAAAAGCAAAACCTTTTTTATCCTTTTATGTAACCATTTCATAAATATATAGTGATGTTTTTAGACTTCCAGTATACATGAGCTACAATCATTGAGAAAGGTGAATAACAATACTCACTCTGCATGTGAGGTTTTATTATCCTATGAAAGGAATAGGAATATTTATTCCTGTAATTTACAGCAAACTAATCACTGCTTTGTGGTCCTAAAGTAATTTTTTTCCTATGTAATTTTTACTCTCAGACTGCATCAATCAGCTTCCACTAGGTGCCTATCAGTTAATTATGTGTGACCTTAATGAGATCAGATCTGGGTCAGTGGTACAAGTAGTTCAAGTGTGATAATGAAAATGAGAAACAAAGCTGAGCCATATTCCCCTACTGTAAAAATCAGTCCACCTGGTTTAATTGAAAGTGAGGTTTATCGTCCATTATTACCATGTTTTTTTATTGCTTTGGTATCTTAATTTGAGATGTTTGCATGAATCTAACTAGTAAGCACATAGGGTTTTCAAAGCCTTACTAGTAAGTGTAAAGGTATCTGTAACACCTGAATCTAAAAAAATCCACCATTCCCACCACACACACACCTGCGCACTCTAAACAATAGCAGCAGCCAAACACCTTTAAAGGTTGGTTGTTAGCATGAACACTGAAGGGTTGAACTTCACTTTATATTTTAGAATACTTGGATACCTCCTGATACCAAATAGCTTCATGGTGTCAGTGTCTAGCAGGTGGCCCAACTGTCAAACATAGATGGATTTGATTTTATCTTGGTTTAGGAATTTGAAGGTACTGCTTTCTCTCTACTTTAATCCAGAGCTCTTAGGAGAGTGCTCAGGTATCTGAAGGTACAATGGGAAAAATCAATTGAAATAAGTTGAAATTGTATGGATTTGTGTTAAACCTCTGCAGGAGTGGTGGAGCTTGATGTGAAGCTCCAAGTTCACCACAGTGTGGAGCTTCTATGCTGTAGTGAATTGAGCAAAACTCCTGCATGCATGCTTCTTCGTGTGTTTTGAGAGACTTCTCAGTATCGTACCAACCAATAAAATCTGTATTTATGTATTTTTGAGGTATAGGACTAGAAGTTCTGCAGTGTGGACTGTAATCTCAAATATCAGATATGTTGTATTGCATATATGTCTGTCTAGCTCTTGAGAGGAGCACACCAGAGGATAATGACAGTGGCAGAAAGCAAATATTAACGGGTCTGCTGGTCCTTGGCATGAGGTGATATAAACCAGAGGCAACTTGATATTAATCATAGCACCTTAAGACTGTCATGAAGACAAATTCAGGTCCAGTATTTTTGATACTCTTCTCTCTTTGGCCCAACAAGTCTCAGTCTTAAGCTTGATCCTGTCAATAAATGGCTAAAACTGGATGGATAAATAGCAGGAGCTTGGAAGGCTTGTGTTAGTGTGATTTTTTTATTTTTATTTTTTACAGCTTAAACATCTGCTTATATGATTAGCTGCTTAGCAATTAAGTTAAGTAATGGTTCTTTCTCTTGCCCAGTGAATAACATTCATAAGAAGATTAAGTGGATAAGCAAGAAACTGAGTTTAGAGCTGTTTGTGATGAAATGATCAAGATGTGTTGTCCCAGTTTTTTGTCATAATGTTATAAATCCATATATTTGTACTTAGACATCACCTGTTTGTATGCACTCTTTATTTCACTAAACACTAGAGATTTAGGTATATCCAAAGAAAGAACAACCACATTAACCAGTGGAATAGAAAACAAACATGAGAAGAGTTTAAAGCCTAACAGTGCTTTCAGCACAGGATGTTTCAGGGTGTGCCCTGTCAGCAAATAATTACCGAGCGCCAGCAGGTTGCCTCTCGTTATGGGGTTAGTGATTAAAGCGTTAACCGGAGCCTCCCGTAGGTGCAGCCGTGACTCAGGGAGCGCTCTCTCAGCTGCAGGGAGGAAGGAAAGTGGGAAGGTGAATGCTCCCAACATGCACCGAGGTGTGGGGAGTGTCCTGGCTTTCCAGCACTCCCAGGTTGGTGAGCAAAACAGTAATTAGCAGCTCCATGAGTTCCGTAGAGAAGCAGAGGTAGCTGTCAGCTCGTGCCATACTGTCATGCTTCTTCCAAGGTATGTGGTATTCCTTTGCTTCTCTTCTGCTCGTGTGCACAGGTAAGTGAAACATAAAAGCTGGAGCTGTTCTGCTAGCTGCGTGACCTGCAGAGTCAGGGGAAAGCAAGGTCCTTTGCAGTCATCCAGAACTTGAGTCAGATTATTTTCAGGTAATTAGGGTGCCAGAGGGAAGAAGAAATGTTCAGTCAGTTGGAAATTCTTGGAAAAAGTTCCTGAATCTTAAGGCGACTTGCGTTAGTCCCTTGTGATAAAGGAGGCAGACCCATGCTGCCCGTCGCTCAGTCACCAGTAAGGCTGTAAAGACTGTGCAGTGACCTTGGTTACTTTGTGTGGGGAGCGGAGGCTATCTTTCTGGAGAGACCTGAAATAGAAAGGAACTTCATAGCAATGGGTGAGTCATGTTTGAAGTACACTTGGTGAAGCCCTGCTGTGCAGTCGCTGTTCATGCAAAGGAAGGGAGACTCTGGGTGCTGAGGGGCCATGTTCACTGATTAACAACAACTTGCTTTTGGTTTCAGTACTCAAAGCTGGTCTGGAGCTGCATGAGTGGAGGGGTTGTACTGTTTTGCGTATTTGAGTAGTGCAGTGTGCTGTACTGTGAAACAGTGAATTTTAAAATGAAATTTAAGAGTAACTGGAAGATTTAAAGCAAACAAGCAGAATCACCTTGTTCTCAGTGGGGGGAAAAATGCGGGTGTTCAAACTTATTTCAAAATAAGTAATTTCTTGTGATTAGATCTTTGCTTTGGTGGTGAGGGCATGTAATTTAAAATATATATATAGAGAGAGAGGCTCATAGAATTAAAATATATGGCTAGATGAAGACTGATCAGCAATATAGCAATATTCTGCTGATACTGGATTTCCTATGAATATGAACGGATCATAACTCTTTTAGAAAAAGATAGTGGTTCAAGAATGGGCTAAACACCAGACTGCTGAGTTTATTGCATTGCTGATACTCTTACAGTGCAAAGCTCCTTGTGCTGTACAAAATGTTATATGTATGGTTTGCTGATAGCCAAGTAAATATGGTTCTGTGATAAATAGATAGCTGGACTTTGGGGATTTTATACAAGAAAATGAGAACACTCACACAATCCTGACTTCCAATATTTTTGGAATAGCTTTAGAAAGTACAGGTTCAAAATACACAGAAATCCTTAGGGGTTTTCATGTTTCCAGTTCTTCTTAACACTGGTAGGAGCTCTGCGTAGCACACTGCTTGCTGTGCAGTTCCCATCTTAATCTATGAATGTGTCAAGAACCATTTCTAGGCTGTTGTGCACAGCATCTTCCATAGGCTATTAATTATGAACTAAAATGCTGCTTTGCTGCTCAGTTGGACTTGTGGGTCAGGTGCCCTCTCCTGCAGCTGCGTCCTTTTATCCTGGTACAAAAATCTGTGAGGACTTTTGCTCTTACTTCGCTTTGTCATTTCTCCATCCCTGTCTTTGTGCTGTTTTCCTGAAGCCAAAAACTTAAAAATTGTGGCATGTTATGAAATTAGATTAGTTATCTTATCTCTACAAACACTTTGACTTTTTTCTGTAAGACATAAATATTATAAAAAAGGAAAATCTATTTTCTCATTAGGTTGTCATGTACCCTCAGGGACTGCATTGTAGGTTTTTTTCCCCATTTTTGTGGACTTCTCTGATAGTTGTTGTCTTCCTCTGGAGGTTTTCATTTTGCACCTGCTTCATTTCTTATTTACTCCTATTTTTCCCCTCTCCACCTTTTTTTTCCTGACAGCAAATTTTAGGCTTTGGTCAGCCTTCTCCCAATAATTAAGTTTCTTCTTTATTAGGTCTCAGGCCTCGAGGTCAGTCCTTCCAAGGTCCAGTTTCAAAATCTTGCCTCTCTGAGGGAATTTTCAGGTTCTGTCTGATGGGAAGTGATTCAGGAGATATCATTGGATAGGTGCCATGTATAGCAATAGATATACATTGTTAAGGAAGGTGGACAATTAACACACTTTGATCATGCTCTAATGATATTTATTCACTTAAATGTTGCTACTGGCATGCATAAAGAACAAATTATAGAAATACAGCTTGCAGACATGTGCAGATCCTGAAGGGAACTCCTGCTCTGTGAAAGGATTGGATGGCAGCTCATGAGTTTGCTCAGCTGTTGAGGAGCCCATGGGCATGGGCTGCCTCATCACTTACACTGCTCTGGGATGAGCAGATAGAGGTGTGTGGTGTGATCCTGGTGAGCAGAAGATGGGGTTGACTGGGGGAGGCAGTAAGCATCTGCACCAGCAGCAGGTAACAGCTCATTGGACTGTGAGACAGGAAAAGGGGAGATGTTTGTTATTTCCATCACTGAATGATCTCGTTTGGTCTCATTGTCAGTGCTTTAGGGGCAACCAGCAGATTTAAGGTATGCTTAAAGTTTTTAAGGCAAATACTTCAGTAAGAGCCTGTCACTACCTAGCAGAACGGGTAGTTCTGCAATAATCTCCTTTTTGTGTAAAAATCACTCCTGTCAGTCTGTTGAGGTCACTTTTTTTCATTCATATGAGTCACTTTACAGTCAAATTATACTGGGAGGTCTTCAGCACTGAGCAAGAAGTAGTGCCAAAGCTCACTGGAGTAGCTGCTCTGGCTAATGGTGCCTGAGCTCCCTGCTATTCTTCACAAGTTTTTTTGTGTCCTGTGGAAAGACACTCAAGTGTATGCCCAGATATTCAGGTGCCAGTGTATATGAACGCCTCTGCATCTTTCAAAACTGTTTTGAAATTAGTTTAGAGTGGGAAGCTGATTCAATTAAAGGTATTAGTAAATTGCATAAAAGCAGATTTCAAGGTGTGGCTGATGGTTACTGGACTCATCTGAGAGGCCAGGAAACAGCAACATCGGACTAGAGTGCAGAAGTCTCTTCCTTATATATAAACTTGTCCCTGGGCCCTTTCAGTAAGTGGATAAATTTCACCTTCACCTGGATGTCACCCAAGACACAGTGGATTTATAAAATGCTTTCTCTTGCTGCTCATGTAAAGTTCATCTCAGTAGCGACCTCATTTGATTTCAGAGGTTATAACTTATGACAGCCCTCTCCTATATGTTCTGTGGGTGAAAAATAATATTAAAAACTTCTTTTGCCCTCATTTCTTACGAGTCATGCATCTTAGACTATGATGACCTTGACATCTAACTTTAAAGTAGAAGCTTGCTAGTGTGGAATCACTTGCTCAGAAACGAGTCTCTTTTACTTAGCTAGTTATGATATCTACAAGCTTTAATTTCCTTTCTAACTTGATTTCCTGGATGCTATTTGCCTTTACTGTAGATAAACTGATTTTCAGACATCTTTTACAAGGCTGCTTCGGGAGTCTGACATCAGGCTGAAGACATTCTCCTGGCATAAGTGCTAATGGACAATGAGTGATAATAGGCAGATTCCTCTGTCACCATGGTTTAGTTAGAGAGAAATTAAAGTAAAAATTAATGCAGTCTATGGAGATAGTACTTCTTGCATTGTGATTCCTTTTTTTCCCCCTTTTACTATTTCTTGGGCTGAGATTAAGATTTTTTTTTTTTCAGTGTATTATCAGTTGTCAATCCTGATTTTCTGAGTCTTTTTTGTTACTTTCCTCAGTTACCTTTTATTCTAACACCTGAGGGTGAAAGAAAGCAGCCACGACTCCGTAATTATGTTATTGAAGAATGCATTGTTGAAGTATCATGAGTCTGGCTTTTTGCCTGCACAGTGTGCTGAAATCAGTACATGGGGATCTGTAAATTGTATTGCTACATCACTTTAATTATAGCCTTGTTCTTGCTTTAATACTTCATACTTCAGCTGTTTTCTTTGTGTGATGCGGGATTCTACCTATGATCAATGCTTTTTCTCTTGTCTGGTCTCACAAACCTAGTTAAGGATGATTGCTGAGTCACTTTTTTTTTTTTTTTTAATGACCTTGGGCAATGCTCTATCCATAATTAGCAAATGAATCCTTAGCAGTAAATGGGTTTCAGTCTACTGAGTAATAGTCATGGAATTCTGGAGTATTAGTAAAACTACTGGAAAAAGTAATGGCATATGTTGTACCTAGGATTTAAACTACTGTGATATACCTGGTGGGAATGACCTATGGCTTTTTTTTTTCTAGGAGTGGAAAATATTTAGTATTAAGGCTATGCACAAAGTAGCTGAAGTATGATTTATTTAGCCTCTTGCTTTAGTGTCTGACTTGCTTTTGCTTTGCAAAACTAAGGCTTTGTTGCTGTGCTTACCATTCAGAGCTTTATTAGAACTAGTGAAAATATTTTTTTTCCTTTTGTTTAGTTTCATCTCTTCTGAATAAATGAAGAAAGTGACTATGAAAGCACAGCATCTTCCTTCTGTTGCCATTAATGAGGAGAAGTTTATAACCAGGTAAATTTTTAAAAACAGAATTTAAAAATACAATAAGTTTGCTTTACTCATTGCTCTGTACTTATTCACTAATGGGGTCCTGTAGCAGCAGCAGTTCCTACAGCTTGCTTTCTATGAAGCATTGATAGAACAAAGAGGTCTTTTATTTGGATTTCAAAAATTGAAGCACAAAACCTTTGGTCTGTGGATTTTTTTTTATTAGTTAGAACAGTACTTTTACAGGTTACTGAAATAACATTTAAAATTAGGGAAGAAGATCCTTCTGTCCTGAAAAACTGTTGAAATGGAGTGTGGATTCCAGTGTTTAACATGACTTCCATGTGCTTGAAACATGTAATTTGGTTTCTAGCCCCAGGTAATGAAGTTTCTGTACAGAACAAGATGTATTAGGCTGTCAACTTCGTTCTGTTGTGAATAGAAGTTCTCTAACTTAGTTAGAAAAGGTTTGGAACTGCACATGAACTGTTTTACATGAGATGCTTTTCTACAGTTGAATGTTTGTTAGTAATTTTCCTAATGTTGCCATAAACCCTGAGTCCCCCCAGTGCATGGTTCCATCACCTTCTTTGGGGATGGCTTTTCCCCATGTTGTCAAGAGCACAAGAACTGGAATATATGGCAGCTTATGCATATCATTTCCGTCCCTTCTGACATTCCTTTCAAAGAAGAAGCTAGCTAAATGTTTCTAAGGATGGAGTTTGTGGTAGAATTTCTGATACTTCTCTAAGTATTAACATCTGAACCTTAATATATAAATAGTGGTGTTGATTTCTCCCTTTTTAAGGAAGATCATTAGAGCTCTGTCCAAAGTGTGGAGGCAGTAAATGCATCCCTCCCTTTTTTTCTAAACAGCTGCTCTCTTTATGCTGCTACTACTTCTAATAAATAATGGCTTTGTGTCAGAGGTAATTAGTCTGTGTTAATTTCCATGTAGTTGGTACACAAAAACGTTTGGAAATTGGAAATGGGATTGTTCAGTCTTGGGAAGAGAAGTCTGAGAGGGGATCTTATGCTTATAAATTTCTAATGGGTGAGTGTCAAGTGAATGAGGCTAGGCTCTTTTTTCTGATGGCCAGTGACAGGACAAGGAGCAGTGGACACAAACTGGTACACAGGAAATTCTATACAAACATGAGGAAGAACTTTTCCTGTGACGGTGATTGAGCACTGGAAAAGGCTACTCAGAGAGGCTGTGGAGTTTCTTTCTCTGGAGGTATCTAAAACCTTCTGGACATTTTTGTGTGCAACCTATTCCAGGGATCTTGCTTTAGCAAGGACTAGATGGACTCTAAAAGGCCCTTCTACCCCCTATGATTCTGCATTTCTATGAAACGCTCCAGATGAACCAGGTCAATACCCTTCAGTGTTAGTCATGGTTGCAACTACTGTTCAAGTTTCTTTGCCTTGGACTGTGGGGAAGAAAGTGTTTCAGGATTCACTAGTAGACTTAATGTGCACTCAGACTTGCTTCCAATGGAATTTGCAGGCTATTGTCCTCCTCCTGCACCTTGAATTGGCAGTTGTGCAGATCTTCTTCCAGTCATACCGTGCAAATCTTGCTGATGTGGCAAGTCTGATTCTTGAGAACTGCAGAATGGAATTTGCATTTACCTGGCTGAAGAAAAATCATGTCTTTAGGCATAACTGCTATAAAAATCTATGGATAAATGTATAGGTCTCAGGTGAGAGGAGGATACAAGCAAACCTTCCAGGATTAGTGAACATACAGTGTGCTCTTTGTGGTTTACCATGAGGGCACTTGACATAACTGCTCCCTTGTATCCTGCCTTCATTACTGAAGAAACTAGTGAAAGTGCACTATATGTTAATCTCTTCTTGATTTGTCACCACATAGTTCTTCCAGTTACTTAGTGCTGGCTTTCATTAGTTGCTGTGTTTGACTGTTGTCACAAAGGCACACTATAAGGGACACCGTGGCAATGCCATGGAGTTGCTGGCTTTACTGGCAGCAGAACTGCGAGGAGACTCTAACAACAACCCCATGCAGCCCTACAGGCTTGGAGAGAAGTGGCTGGAACCTGATGGAACAGGATCTTGGTATACTGTTAGACAGTTGGCTGAATGTGAGCCAGCGGTTTTCCAAGGTGGCCAAGAAGGCCAATGGCATCCTGGCTTGTATCAGGAATGGTGTGGTGAGCAGGAGTAGGAAAGTAATCCTACCCCTGTACTCAGCATTGGTGAGGCCCCACCTTGAGTACTGTGTTCAGTTTGGGCACCTCAGTGCAAAAAGGACATTGAGGTGCTGGAGCAGGTCCAAAGGCAACAAGCCTTGGAGAATAAGCCCTGTGAGGAGAGACTGAAGGAATTGGGGCTGTTTAGTCTGGGGAAGAGGAAGCTGAGGGGAGACCTCATTGTTCTCTTCCAATATCTGAAAGGTGCTTACAGCGAGAGCAGGGTTGATCTCTTCTCACTGGTGACAGAACAGGGGGAAATGTCCTCAAGTTGCTTCAGGGGAGTTTTAGGTTGGATAACAGGAAAAACATCTTTACAGGCAGGGTTGTTAAGTGCTGCAGTAGGTTCCCCATAGAAGTGGTTGAGTCACCATCCCTGGATGTGCTTGAAAACCATTTGGATGTGGTTCTCAGGGACATGCTTTAGTGGAGGGTTGTTAGAGTTAGGGTAATATGGTTAGGTTGGGGTTGGACTTGATGATCTTTAAGGTCTTTTCCATCCTGAGCAATTCTGTGATTCTATCTGCCTCTTTGTTAGGGCAGTTTTGGAGCCCTCTCAGCCAGGATGTGCTACGCTGACTCAATCTGGAGCTAGTAGGCTAGTGCATGTATTACTCCTTTTTTTGGACTAAAAGAAGTAAAAACTTTATGTTTCTCCACTACACAAGAAGAAAGTCCACGTCAGCTATTGTTTTGTCTCTCTTAGGGTTTTTTCTAATAACTTGCATGGTTCATCACTGTTTGTTGCACTAATATAAGACTGAAGCCTGAAAGATTGATTTATGCAAACTTCTGTGGAAATTAATGGCAAGTTTACTTAGTTTCTTGCCTTTTCCAGAAGAAAAATCTTCAGAACATGCTCTACTAAAGGTTGAACAGAATCCATCTCACAGACTTCTGGGTTGCAGTTACTCTATCTATCAGAACAAATTCTGGGATGTAAGGATAGAGTATACCCCTGCCAAGAAGGATTTGAGGACAGAGATGTTTGGTAAGCTGGACGCGAGCAACCAATGTGCCCTCACAGCCCAGAAAGCCATACGTATTTGGAACTGCATCAAAAGAAGCATGGCCAGCAGGTCAAGGGAAGTGATCCTCCCCTCTACTCTGCACTGATGATTCCTCACCTGGAGTACTGTGTCCATATTTGGAGTCCTCAGTACAGGAGAAACATAGACCTGTTAGATTGGGTCCAGAGGAGGGCACAAAAATGATCCAAGGGATAATATGCCTTCCCTGCGTGGGTAGGCTGAGAGAGCTGGGGAGCTGGGTCTGTTCAGCCTGGAGAAGAGAAGACTCTAGGAAGACCTGAGACCAGCCTTTCATTATCTAAAACATGTCTATCAGAAGGAAGGAGACAGACTCTTTAGCAGGGTCTGTTGTGATAGGACAAGGGGAAATGCTCTCAAATTAAGAGAGGGGAGGTTTAGGCAGCTGTAAGAAAGAAGTTTTTTATAATCAGGGTGGTGAGGCACTGGAACAGGTTACCCAGAGAGGTGGTAGGTGCCCCATCCCTGGAGATGTTCAGGGTCAGGCTGGACAGGGCTCTGAGCTACCTGGTGTATCCTTAGATGTTTCTGTTCACTGCAGGAGAGTTGGACCAGATGAACTTTAAAGAACCCTTCCAACTCATAAAATTCTATCATTTTACAATCCTTCCTAGATCACTTTGCTTTTAGCCTGTGATTTCAATTGCCTTTGCAACCAACGTGGCCTAAAAGACAGGCCTCGCAGGAAGACACAAGTCCTTAAGTATTCTTAATTTGTTCTCAGGGAACTGACCTCCACAGCTTTCCACCTTCCAAAAGCCCACAAAGTAACAGCTGTCAGTGGAATGATTGCTTGAGATATTAGGTTGTGAAGTGAAGAAGACTTAAGTATTCAGTGTCTTAAAAGCAAGATCAGCAGGTCTATCACAACATATGTCAGTCAAAAATGTGGATCTCTTACTTGCACCTTAATCTTGTGTTGCATCTGGATTCTGCCCATCTGAGGCCAAAACATGCTTAATCTTGCTTCCCTTTAGCCAGTGTGATGAGAGTTTTTCATGTGCCTGATTCATATCTAAGTGTGTTATTACTTTCACTTTTGGTGGAATGACCTGACTATAATCCCTCATAGCTGAGAAGACTCAGAACCAGGAATGAGTTATTCCAACATAGTGGTGGGGAAAAAGGGCTTTCACCACCTGTATTTCTAGGATTTAAGATCAGAGTGACTTAAAGTGGATGCTGAAAATGTGATTTTGGAGCCCAACAGGCTTGATAAAGCCACTCAAAATATATTTTGGGAATGGCAGCAAGTTAATGAAGTAAATAATTTACATCCAGAGCCTTAGAGGGGAATGCAGTTTGAGTTCAGCAGTGCAGACCTTGCCCTAGTGTTAGCTATTGAATAAAAGCCCTGCTTCTCTTTGCCCTTCTTGCTCCCTCTCACAGAGAGGGACAGAGATCACCAAGCAGCAGGGCACTACCAAGTTCAGTTAGTGTCACTCAGAAATGCCTTTGCCCAAATGCTCTGGATGCATAGAAATGGAAAGAAGGGGCAGGCACAAGACTGTAAGGTATCTGCTTAGAGCAGTCATGGAGACTGGACAGCAGAGAGATACTATGAAATAATGTTCATTTCATCCCAAAAATCTTTTTTCTAACTGCTTTGCAATGGCTGATGGGCTGGTTTATACTTCTAGGAGATGTCACTCTTCAGCTCATCATGTCTGATAAAGGTGCCACTGTCACCAGTGATAGTGCCCTTGTGTATTCTAGGGTGTGGGTGTATTGTGACTGATACAGGGAAACAAAAAGTGAAAAATTCTCCAAAAATGTTTCATCTAGTGTTTCCTATTCCCTAATACTATGCTGTTAATTCCCTCTCTAAATGTATGTCTTATAGAAGTGTTTAATTTTTGCATATGGTCTCATTCAGAATGCTGCTACACCTGGAATTTTCTTGGTGAACTCTATGACTTTTGCAGTATATAAAACTTAATTTCCACTGTGCATGGTTGCTGTGTGTGATTTGATTCAGTGATGCTGCTGTAAGTCAGTTTTTGTAGTTTTTCTATTTATGCTTGAAATTGATGGAGAAGCTGTAGTAGCACTTCTGGTAGTATTTGGGTCTTGAATGATTTCTTTAAGTCTCTGTAACTTTGCTGTGAGACAAGCTTTTATTTGCTGTTTGTTTTACTATTTCTGTTATAATATTTTATACTAGACAGTATGGAAAAGCAATGCTATTTGGAAGTAAGCTTCGTGTTTTCACTCACCGCTGCATGTCAGACCACAAGACAATTTTGATTGTTAGTCATCTCAGTTAATTCTTAATCATCATCAGTGAGGCAGAACTCATGCCTCTCTGGCCAGTTTTATCCATACAGGTAGAAATTACCTTCTTGAATTGTACTTTAAATAACTTCTGTTGTTTAACTGATCTGGGAAGAATGTTTCCTGATACTGAAAATGCTCACCTGGTTTTCTGTTCAGCCTTTTCTAGCTTGAGCTGCAACTTGCTTTTTTTCTTCGTGGCTCATAGCACTTCTTGCTTCCTTCACTCTCCTTTGGGCTCTGTCAATGTGGTGTGTGTTGTTCTTCAAAAGCAATACTAAAAAGCGGAGCACTTTAACCAAACTCAGCCTTCAGCTGTAATTCAAGCAGGCTGTTTCTGAGGAGGGTGCTCCCCTGGGTACCTCCTTGTGTGGTACAGCACAGCACTGTCTGCTGGAACAGAACAGTGACCAGAAGTCACTTTTGCAGAGTGCTGGTACCTGAGTGTTCACCATTTCATATTTGTGCAGCACAGTATTTACTGCTTCTTCCCTATCTGCAAGGCCCATGTGAGCTGCAGTGTCAGCACTGTGGGTTTCTGTAGCACTACAGCTGTTGGATGTGTGATCTAACTGGGATGTTGTAGAAGCACAGTGTGTGTGCCCACAGACTGCTTGGGGTTTGTTCTGTGAAGCATTTTCACAGTAGAAGGTTATGCTGTGCTTTTTTAAACTGTAGAGCAGCTTTCTGTTTGAAATCTGATACAATCTGGCTTGTAGACGGATGTTCTCTTCATGTCCATCCTTTCTCCTCTCAGTAAAGACTTAAAGCTATAATGTTGCAAGCAGAAGGAAACTGAATTATTTTGTCTAGGCACATTGTAGTCACTTTGAAAAATAAATGTAAAAACAAAAAATGTATTGAAAACTATCATGTGGAGAAAAGAAATTGTAACCTAACTAAAATCTTCTGCAACATTTTGTATGGGAGCATTGTTCCTGTTTGCTTCCCCCTCACTCTAGCAGAATTCCAAAGTACCAATTATTCCATGGCAGTGCATTAATGTCACTTAAGACCAACTAATTCATTTCCTCTGTGTATCAGGTCTTTAAAAAGGTAACTTATGGGCAACCCAGTATCCTGACAAAATTTTACTCCTGGAAGACTTACTAACTATTAACAAACCTATTCAAATGTTTGGTGGATAACAGAGATTAAAAAAAAAAAAAAAAAAAAAAAAAAGCATTACTCTGCCACATAAGCCTTGCATTTTTCAGTAGTAGGAATGTTTAAAAATGATTAATTTTATTGTGGTCTTTTATCCTAGAGAGCAGCTCCATTCTCTTCTGAAGGTCTATAACTCTTACTATTCTGATCAAGAAAATCTGCAATTGTCATATGATCAGGTAAGGATCTGTGTGAAAATGATACAAAAAGTATAAAGTAATAGAAAAGTATTGATGGGTGCTGGTGCTTAACAGAGTTAGACTGAACAATGTAGGATACACATTGCGCCTTATGTTAGGTGAAATATATCACTATAATCAAAACACCCCAGCAAATGCTATTGTCTGAGCTTACCTTTTTCACCTCTCTTCTCACATACTCTTGACAAGTGGGAATCTGACATCACTGAGTGGGATTTCCTTGCAATCCCAGTCACAGAAGATCATTCTTTGGGTCGACCTCTCAAGTTCATTAGCTGTGAGGGAACTGAACTGCAAAGCTTTCTGCAACATGTAGCTCCTCCCATACCCCTTCAGCTGGAACAGGCAGTTTGTAATGGCAGGGCTGCCATCACTTGAATTGATTTGCAGATTATCAATCTCTCCTCAAATGCGGACCTTCAGCACAGAGAATGCAACCATAGCAGGAATGTCCCTTCTGTGGAGACCAGAAGAGTCTGTGTAGCTGAAGGACTGATGAAAGCATGAGTTGTGCCTCTGATACCACAGTCCCTGGCTTAGCAGTCTGAATATCCTTCAGCATCACAAGATGTTTCTGTTTTACCTGCATTAGAACCAGAAGGACTCTTAGAGAAATTCTAGGCAAATATTGTCTGAAAACTGGAAGTGTTCAGCTGTCTGACACAGTTCATTCTACTCAGAGACCTAGTGACCAAATTTGTTGTCAGCAAGAAGGAGCATCAATAACACTGTTGCATTGCCCTACCTCAGTGACGGTGACTTTGTTAACATTGTCTTCTTCCTTTGACAGCAATTATTCTCCCCCTTTGTTCCAAAAGAACTACTCACCCAAGCAGAACAAATAAGATTTGATTTCTAATTGCCTATGACTGTGGAAATGTTGATTGGAAAGAGCCTCTGGAAGAGTTATCTAATCCAGCCTCCTGTTCAGAGTAATGCTGACACTAGGTCAGGTCAGCTCTGACTTTAGTGAGCTGAGTTTTGGAAATCTCTAAGGACAGAGATTTCACAACCTCTCTGTGTGACCTGTTTCCAGGTCTGTGTCGGCATGAGTGATTTCAGTGTATTCCTGTTTAATTGAAGGGAATTTTTATGGCTGTACTATGATGCAGTGCTCCTTTTTTATTCTTTTTTTTCCCCCAACAGCGAGAAGGAAGTAAACCATTTATTGAAGGAATCTTATCAATATTTTGGGGAGTTCGACATCCTATCCGCTTAAAAATTCAGGATGAGAAGCAGATACCCTCTTTTGTAACATTGAAGTCAACAGAGAAAGTGGGCTTGTTCCCCAGTAAAAGGTAACATATTAAGATGGGATGACTGATGTTTCAAGGCAGCTCATGAAGGTGGCTTCAAAGGCTATGGCTTATCTGGAATATAGTTGCATATCCTAGATTTCCCAAAGGCTGCAACATCAGGTTGACTATGCAGCGATGCTCTTCACCAGGTGTAAATGAACTGGCCTTTCACCTTTGGGCAGAAAGATGCATCTTGCTCTGGCTTTCTGCTTGAGAATTGTCAAGAAGGTGAAGGAGGAAAGCTGCTCTTGTTTATACTGATTGTTCACATGCAAGCACTGGGAAATTTATGTAGACAAAAATGTTTTTTAAAATAGGAATCTGTACATCCAATAACATGCAGCACCTGAAAAAAATGCCTAGTGGTACACATTCTATACCATGAAGCAGAAAGCTGGTAGATTAGTACTAAATTATTGCCTGTGCTAGGTTACTTTCTCAGATGTTTCAGGCATGACACCATTGCTTCTCAGGGCAAAGTTGAAGCCAGGAAATGAATATTTAGTCTATGCAAAATCTGATGTTAAAAACCATTAGAGATGTAAACAGATGAGCTGTTCCTTCAGACAGCTGCCTATGAGTGTTCTATGTTGATCTGAATCCTGCTAGATTTCCCAGATCTTTAAATAAATAAATGGTGTAAGTGCTTAGAATGTTTCCTTTTTCTGTTTTTAATACTGTTTCCCAAGCCTCGATTGGTGAATTATATCTGACAAGCAGAAGCTGAATAATGTGCAATATGGAGGCTGAGCCAATATTTACCCTGAATGATTCCCTGGTAAATTCTGTACTGAAGAGCTCCCTTTCTTAATTATTTGTTATCTTAGATTGCACATGGTATATGTTTGAATTGTGGGTTTAATTCTATCATAATTACAGCTGCTTAGCTCCAGTAAAACCAGGGACAGTCTTCTTGCTCTTGAAATTAGCGGGAAATCTCGCAGGGAGTAACCAGCAATGAACTTGAGTCTGAGGCAAATCTGGTTCTCTTTGTTTACCTTTTGGTCTCTTAATACTGGTTACATTTGTCCTGTATGACACAGTCCAGTCAAGCAGTTAAATTTTTCTTTGCCTTTTATTCTTTCAAGAGTGTATGACTGGTAGCAGATGCGAATCTTAAAGTAAATATTAATTCATGATCATAGAAATGTGAAACTGCCCTGACATGCTTTAAGGTATGCAGAACAGCTTGATTGTTTGATCTTAATTGAACATTTTAAATGCATGGAACAAAACTGAGATAGTTGTTTGGCATGCTCATTGGAGTTAGTTGAATATTGTTTTGACTACTTATAGGAAATATTTTTTTAAACTATTTTCTTACAAACTGGTGAGAGCAGTAACTGGCCAAAGATTTTTTGCTATAGACTTTATTCAATGAATTATGAAAATAATGACATAGATAAAGTTAGTCTTCAAAACAGGCATTCTTCTCAAGAGATGGCTTGAAATCCCTGCTGTCCTACAGAAATGGTTTGGAAAGCTCTACAATATTAGTCCAGAATAAAAAGCCCTGTGACTATTTGAATGTCCAAGTATTTATTTTTTTTTTCCTGTGTCTGCATGTCATCCTACCTGTGGTTGATCTATAACATTGCTATGAAATACACAAAGAATTACTGCAAATAACTTAAGGGCTGTCATGTTCAACTTTCAACAGGCTCTAAATAGGATTTTGTTATGTTTGGGATCCCTAATTGCGCCTTTTTTTTAATGAACAGAAATTTGATTATGACATGAACTAAAATGACTTGCTTTGTATGCCACATTGAAGGCTGTTATTGTGTTCCATGAAGTTTTGAACAGGAATAGGAATGTGTTATCTGAAGCCTGGATACAGGCTAAATTAAATTCACTGAGTTAATATAGTTTTGTTATTTCAGGGGAATGACACGATGGGGAGAATTTGATGATCTGCATCATATTAGTGGAGAGACATTGAAATCTACTGAAGAGAAGCTGAACTCTGAGAAAAGTTAGTGTCTGTGCACTTGTGTTCACTAAGATCTTTGTTCTGTGACTGCAAAAATAATTTTGCATATTAGATCTCAGTAAAAAGTAATTTTTCTCAGTCTGTTTACCATCTTTTATATGTTGCTGAAATAGTGACATATGACTGGTTGGTGAAAATATGGCTGTACTGATAACTTTTCAAATTATATGTACTAAATAGGCTGTGTTTTTACCAAAAAAACATTCCCAAGAAGTAGGAAAAGTGGCAATTGTTGCCTGTGGCCACTGCAAGCAGCCTATTGCTCTTCACTGTGCGCCCATATCCAACTCCCTCCCAAAAATGTAAAATAAAATAAGTCCCTCCACCATGAACCTTCTCTCTGTGTTGGTATTGGCAAGGAGCAGCTGTACAATATGCTGATGCAGTTTCATTCTGTCTAGGTTATTCATATTACGAAAGCAACACTCTGAAGTCCAAGAGCGAGCAGGAACATGACTGTGCTACTCTGCCCAGGGCGGTCAGCAGTGCTGCAGCTGTAAGGAAGAGGACCAAGTTCCCCATGATTGCAAGAACAGAAGTGGAAACTCACAGATTTTCTATTAATGGCCACTTCTACAACTATGAGGTACTGATGTAGACAGCTTTTGTTCACTTGAGGTTTGGGTACTGGAGCAGAATAAAACCCCTCACAAGCTTCTGGACCTACCCTGCATCACCTTAGCCAGGGGGGACATTCCCACTTGGTCTCTCTGTATGGCCATGCCTGTGTCCTTGGTCTTTGCCTCCAGCCCCAGGGAGGTAGGTTTCAAGTGCACGCAGCAACAATGTGGTTTAGTCAGGGCTACAAAGAGTCCACAGTGGCCCTTGCTTCCTGGGGGGATGCATTCCCTTCTCCTGAGCACACCATGTGCCTTCACAGCAACAGTGACAATGTACTTGACAGTTTGCTTCATCCCAGAGCTGCATCGGTTTAGATTCTTTTGAGTTATCAACTGTTGAGTGCAGAAGTCCTCATATTCACAGCCTTTTGCTGCTGTTTTTGTTTCTTAGACATCAGTTTTCACTCCAGCTTCTGGATCAGAAACCAAGATAAGAGTTAACAGCCATATGAGAACAAGAGAAGTAATAGAACAATTGCTTCGAAAGTTCAAGGTAACTGCGTGCTTACAGAAGCCAGTGCAACTATTTTCTAGAAATGCTAACTTGATCAGTGTCCCACCAGTCCCGTGTGAAAAGCAGGAAATAACTGGAATCATAATACATGAAATAGAGCATATATACATGAAAGTAAGCCATAAGTAAGGGGAGTGTCGCTTTTACTTTACAAATGCTTAATGACTAGATATATCCAGAAAAGATATGTAATTTGCGGTGAAGTAAGAACTAGTGAATGGCTTCTTTATGCCTTCGTGCACTGGAGGGGAAATTGCACCCTCAGCATTATTCAGTGCAAAAAAAGGATGTTTGACTGTGCTTCCCCCTAGTGACAGGCCCTAGTAATTGTATCTTTCTGAAAGCAAAAAGGAACCGTTTTTTAGTGTGAGTGCCTGGTATGCCTACTGTATTGGATCCAGGCATACAGAGAGATCCAGAAAGCTAAATTTAAAAACGGCAGTCTGTGCTCTGTTCTGTGTGGTTTGACTTCTATACATTTGTAAAGTGTATACTGAAAAATAATTTTTGAAACAGACTCCTTTTTTCTGAACCTGGTGGTGCAGGTAAGTGGAAGAGATCACAGGTTTCTGTGTTAGTGATGATAATCTTGGAAAATCTGATTATCATCTGAAAAGAAAGCTGTATGAAATAGTTACGGATACTGAAAGGAAACTCTGGAAAGATTGCTTTTTGTCTAAGATGGTGTGTGTTGCTCCTTTAGGTAGCATTGGCAATCATAAGGCAGTGGAGTAGAAGGACAAAGGTAATGGCAGCACAGCTTTGGATCTTATTCAAACAAAAAGTATCTTCTAACTTCTAACAAAGTCCTACTTCGTGGGTTTTGATTTAACACTGAGTTGAGAAGCATGTAGCTTATCTGCTGCTGATAAAATGCTCAGGAAACATGTCAGTCAGTCTGAATAGTTTTTTGGTTTTGTGTTTACAGATAGAAAACAGTCCCCATGAATTTGCACTTTATATTATCCATGTGTCTGGAGGTAAGCCAGATATCACTACGGGGTCATTTCATTTCTATTTATCTTCTGTGTGCATGGGGGGACTGCTTACCTTGGAGTGACAGGATTCATCACAGGCATCTGTCCTTGCTCTCAATGTCTAAGTACAGTGCAGCATTTTGCTTTTCTGGGACCCCTTAGATATGTGCGCTTCTCTGATGGAGAGGAAAACCTGAATAATTGTTCTCAGTGCTTTGAGCACTGTGAATTTGGCTGCTTCCATTAAACAAGTCTCAGCTTTTCCTGTAATTATCATCTACTTGAAATGCTCTTTTGCTGTGACTTCTGTTCTAAATGACCGCATGGCAGTCTTGGGATGCCAGTTTCCATCTGGCAGTTATGGAATATTTTAATTGGAAAAGGGATATAAGGGCTTTAAGGAGTGCTAGAAGATACCCAGCTTGCTTTGAAATGCTAACCTGGTGAAAACCAGACTAAACACACTTCATTTGGACTTCACAATTTTGAGACATAGTCTTGGATCCCCCAGATGTCTAGTTCAAAGTATTCAATTTTAATAGAAAATGCCCACTTTCACAATGCATTATGACTCTATTTCTTCTTGAATTTTTGTTACAAATAAAACTTGAGAGAACGGGAGAACTGAGGAAAATATGAGTTTAAAAAGATGTTTGAAAATTATGAAGTAAATTTTGTTTCAGTGAGTTACAGCCACATTGTCGGGCCTAGAACTAATCTCTTAAACATGTACTTGATTACCTAAACTGCAACTCCTTTGTGTTGCATTTTGAAAGACACTGGCATATGGTAGTATAAATGTAGGTGCCACATCTTCCTGAGAATATGCATTAGAGACTTACTATACACATAATAATTGCACATCAGGCAAAGATAGAAACTTTGTCAAGAAACAAGACTTCCAAATGCATCTAGTACTTAGAAGAACTACTGTATATTCTATGTATCAGCGCATTGCTTTTAAATCTCAGAAAAGAAGCAGCTGAGAAGTGGAGACATTCCCTTGCTGCACAGACTCCTGCAGGGGCCATCAGAGAACGTTGCCAAGTTTTTTCTCATGGACAGGGATGTGGAAGAGGTCAGCAGCGATGTATGTATAATCATTATTCTAACAGTTCACAGTATTTTTCCCAGTTAACGCAGTCACTAATGAGCATTTCTCTTCATTTTCTTGGTAGGTTGCTCAATATATTCAATTTCATCTCCCCTTTTTGGAATCAATTCTGCACAGAATAAACAAAGAAGAAGAACAGGAGATTCAACAGACAATTGCAAAGTAAATAGAAGTGAAATTAGGGGGGATCACTTTCAGTTCATTAGAATTCTTACAGTTATAGTTTGGCTCAATAGATTAATGCATTTATGTATCAGGATGCAGTTACTGCTTACACTGAACTTTGTGGGAATCACAATTGTTTCTGTATCCTGCATCCCTAAATGAGTTGCTGCTGTGGAAGATACCAGAGTAAATTCCAGACCACTTATACAAGGTTGGAGCTTTTCTCTAAAATTGGGAGCTGTGCTGTGGATGTCTTCCGAGCCTTAGACTGGTACTTCAGTTTCTACTTGCTGCTGTGTATTTCCCTGGAATGTGTAAATGCAGTAAATATTGTGGTACTATTTGAGTGTCACTGCATTTAATTTAGATAGATGCAGAACTCCAGATGCAGAAGAATATCCTTTAGAACTTAATTTCTGAAAAATGGCATGAGTGGTTTTGATGGTAGCTCAGTATTCACAACAGCTGGAGATTAGAGCCACACCAGTGGCTCTGAAACTATGAGGTCAAAACCAGTGTGAATCTAAACTAGCTGTGGATCTGCTAACTAATGTCCATCAAATCATTCTGAATAAAAATAGCCAGGAATGGAAAGAAAAAAAAAAAATACAAGCTATTGCCATTTTCAGTCAGAATGGCTTTCACTGCAACTGTTTTTACCCATTCAACTAGAATGTTAAAATTCAGGTTAAAAATGTTTTCTAAAGGATTCTGTGTGAATAAACACATTATTTCTCTTTCTCTCTCTCCTCCTTTCCCTCTCTTTCTCTCTCTCAGATACCTTAAAGAGAAGCGTGTGATATGCCAGCACCTTCAAAATCGAACTTTTAAAAAAACAGAGACTACTGTTTGATGTGATTTGGCATATTGCAACTACCACCCACTGCCTTTGGCAAAGGAAAGTCTGTGTTTTCTTGCGTGTGCCATCATTGAGGAGCACTTAGGGCACAAGGGTGTGCAAAGTGCTTCTTTTGACAATTATGCAACTGAAACTGTACACTCCACTATGGCTCTGGAATACAAGTTGGGGACCACCTAAGAAGATGGACTAAATCATCCAAAAGACAAAGTCTGAATCTAACTTGAAACTTCAGATTGGGAAAAATCCTGTGCTGAAAAGCACAAGGCTTTAAAATCTTCTAATTTCCAAACAATTACCAAGAGTCTGGTATACAGGAAAATGTTGCAATAACCAGTGTGCTAATTGTGCCAAAAATAAGAAAAGAAAGTATGAGACTTTCCTTCTATTAGAAAAAATGATAAATTTTATTAGGAGGAAGCTTTTCTGTAGAGTTAAGTGGCAAAAGGTATTTATTTATCTAAGATTGCAGTTAGGCATTTCACATAGCTTACAAAAATATCTACACAAGTGAGACCTGAAAGCCCAGTGGCTTCCAATTGGTAGGTACCTAACTCATATAACCTTTGAGTCAAAGTTTGAAGAATATAAATTGAAGTCTACCATCTTCATGGCTACTCAGCTCTTAAATGTATGAGCAAAGGTATCTCTGATATATATTTTAAGCTGCAGAGAATTCTCACGAAGTACTGTGGCATTTGCTTGACTGGGTGCTAGAAGGCATCCCGTGTCTTTTTTTCATTGAGACAGATTATTCCATGTTACTTCCTGTGTTTTCCTATTTGGAGAAGGAAAGGAGAAGTGTTTAGTGAGAGGCTGACACCACAACTCTTATCGGATGGGGTTCGCATCCTTCTGCACATGCAGTTTTTGGACAGTCTGACAGTTGCACAGTGTACAGCATTCCTCTATCAGATCCTGCGTGGTTCAATCATGCTGAATAGTAAAGTTCAAATTGTAGAGATGTAAATAAAATGTGCACAAGTAAGTGCCCTCCTGTAGTACCTTCTTTTTAATGTGATGTCTGTATTTTGTACCAGTTGTGTTTGGTTTCTGTAGATAACAGGATCTATGTGCTGAGAGGGAGGGAATTGGTATACAGAAAATGATATCTAGAAATTATGTGGAATAAATCAAGTGTGAAAAGCTGTACTCCCTGTGAGGTGACATCATTTGAATGGTAACTCAAAAATGAGAAGTCATTGTGCTAATTAAACTATTGTGCTTGGGGCAGGTGCTTACTTTAATATGCAATCTATTATAATCTTACAGAGGAAATTATTATGGGCATGGGAGCACAGAGGGGAGAAATAAAAACAATTCAGTAGTCAAGCAAGGTGCATGGCATTTGTAACAGTTGCCTTGGGTGTGCCAATGTCAGTTCATTGAAACAACAGAGTTATACATGCAAATGTCACTGAAATTCCACAGGTGAACCATTCAAATATTGATTAGCCAAGTGGTTAGGAGATAGGAAACTCACCATAAAACATCACAGGCTGGGCTTGTAAGGTCAAATTTCAGTGAAGTTTAAGTAGTTAGTCTATGGTCATATCTTGTTCTTGTCCAAAACCAAGAAGATGTTGTCAACTTCAACCAAATTATGCACTGTCATTTTTTGTTCAGCTGCAGACAGGTATGTTTTGGCACCAGCTGGCTGTACTGAGACACTAGAAATTATGCTGAAGTATGGGAACAGCCCCCCATGGACTCAATTTCTTGCTTTGTTCTGCCTAAATTACTCTAAGGAGCATATCGGAACTGAAACACAGAACAATATGCAGATAGCTCAAACTTATGAGCGGGAAGAAAATCTAGCCTGCAGTCAAAAAAACTGCAGGTGCTCCAGGGCTGTCTGCTGCCTTGCTGCATCTTCTCATTGCTTTAATCAGAAAATGTATTTCAGGTTTTTTTAGTGTAGCTAGCCTATTTCTGTTGTGCTCTACTTGGTAAATGCTTGTGGTTGTATGAATGTGCAGTGTGAAAGTAATGGAGCGTGGTATAGTCATAATTCTTTGGTCTGAGATTTGAAAAACTGAAGATAGTGCCAGTGCACTGACCATGTGGAAAAGTGTTTGCAAAGCAGATTGTCCAATCCTGTGTGTTCCTAAATTGAGCCATTTTTTGCCATCATCTGGTGTTAAATACTTGGATCCCATTGAGTTCACTTGTCTTGCTGAATTGGAACTAAATGGTACTGCAGAACTAACAATGGAGCCTAGCACAAAAACAAATGTAGGTTGCTGGCTTTAAAGCACTAATGAAATAAAGCTGCTCTGTTACAGTGGTGTGAGTTGTGTGAATATTGCGGTCGCTTAAATGAACAGTTTCTGACAAATGCTGACAAGAACTTAGGAAGATTTTATTCCAAAGTGTTATTCCATACTCAAGGTAGCAGTAATGAAAAAATTCGAAGATGAAAAAAAATTCAAGTCCTAAGTCATATTGAAGAAGACACTAGAGTAAAAAATACTATATAATTTTGCTGCTACTAAACAACCCAGTGAGAAAAACCCCAAGTCATCACTGGACTTTGAGGAAGAAAGATAATTTTTTTTTTTTTTTTCAAAAACACCACCAAAACCCAACCCCCAGATTCCAGAAGAGTAATGTGCATCAGAACATTAAATTCTGAGAAAACTGTGCTGAAAGAAGCCTTAGATGATCTCTTTGTTTATTTTTCTGTCTGAAAACATCACTGGCACTTGGGTAGTGTGTGCTCTCTCTTTTGAAGCTCCCTGCTGTTCCTAGACTGTTGATTCCAGTGCTTTGTTTTTCCTGCTAGGTGCTGACTGGCTATCTTTGTCCTGCAGCCTGCCTTTTTTGACAGGTGAAGACTCGCATGTTCTTAAAACTTTTCTTACTAAACCACACAACCCCAATCTAGTCTCATTTTCCCTTTTTTTTTTAATGGAACTTTGACTGTTAATTGTTGCTTTCTTTTCAGTGAGATTCTGTTTGCAACTGAGACCCCAGATTTGTTCAAATACTTCAGCAAAGTCCTGATGAAAGGTGAGAAAAACAAAACCGCGGTGCATATTTGCTATATCTCATTTTTCTGTTTTATCAATTAATATTGTGTTTGTAGCACCAGCATGCAAGCATGATGTTAGGCTTCAATCAGCAGCAAAATATCAGTGACTCTTGATCAGTTTGTGATCTGTTGTAACTGTATTGTTATTCATTCAACACTGTAATGAATATTTTTCCTGTACCGTACTATTGCAGTTGCTTAATTATACCTATGTCAAATGTTTAATTTGTTTTGACAGAACACAGCTGGTGCTTTCTTAGGCTATTTCTGTAATATACCAAGATGATTTTGACATCAGAAATGCTGCAATGAGATCTGCAATGGTCTCTGTCCACCTCACTGTCTGTCACAGATATAATGAATAGTTTTTCCTTTCACTATATCATTAATGAAAATGTTGCCTAGTATTTGGTCAACCTCTTCAATCTGACTCTGAAAAATTATCTCTTATTATATACTTTAAATTCAGCAGCTTTCTCTAAATGTTTGTCTGCTGATCAGAAGTGTCACGTTTCATCTTAATGACATTTTGCTCATCTGTCTTCTTCCTTGCTCTGCTTGGGATGACCAAGATAATCTTTCTGTGCCTAAAGGCAATTTTACAGTTCCCTACAGCAGGCCTTGTTAGTGAATGAACGTGTTGTATTTCAAAAACAGTCCTATTAAAATACCCAAAAATATTTGGTGATTCAAAAATATTTTTAAAGTTGTCATGGTCAGATTTTTTTCAATCTTGTTTTTCTTTATGCTTCGTAAGAAGCCAATGTTTAGATTACTTTTTTTTTTCTATGACCATTTCATACAAGAAAAATAATATTCTGTAGCATTTAAAACCTCGTTTTCCATCCAGTTACCTTTTATGTTGCACCTTATTTTTTGATTCAAATGGGTTTAAGTTATTTGCTTTGTTTTAAATTTTACGTGTTCATGATCGTTTTGAATCAAGGGCATATGAGCTACACGTTAAGTTATCACAGAAATTTCTCCCACATCTGAATAAAATTCATACACTTATGCAAATTTCTCTTAGGCTCAGATCTGAAGGCAAACTGCATTTACAGTTTCATAGCTTGTCAGATTTTTCTCAGAAAGTGATGTATTACTGGAGGCACCCCTTTACCTTGTTGATGGTGGAAAATCAGGCATTGGCAGAACTATAGCTGGTGAAAATTGTACTGACTTTGTTAGGTTTGTAGATAAAGAACCACAGCACAGTATTCTCCACTATGATAACTCATATTCTCCTGTTTATACTTCATGACTATTTAGAAAAGGTATGCTTAGTATTTAATCTGTGCAACTATATAGCATTCAGCCAATATCTTCCAGTATGCTAAATGAGCTCTTTAGGCTGACAGCAGTTTTTCACTTCTTTTTATAAGTTCTGGACCCTGAAAGAAACAAAACAACTATAAGCAATCAAATCAGAAGGATTGTGGAATCACAGAATCACCAAGGTTGGAAAAGACCTCTAAGATAATCCAGTCCAACTGTCCACCAATATTTCCCACTAAACCATGTCCCTCAGTACAACATTCAAACGTTTCTTGAACACCTCCAGGGATGGCGACTCCACTGTCATGCAGCTTGTGCCAGCACCTGACCACTCTCTAAGATAACATACTTGCAAAAAAAATTGTGTGTGTACATCAGTAAGTCAATTCCTTAATTTCTTTGTGGATTGTGTACAAACACATGTATATGTGATACTTCCTCTGTTCAGCTCAGATTGTCTTAGCTGGTTTTATTACAAAGAGCTAGTAGTGTGGTTCTTTGTAGATAGGCTGGGTAAAGCAGAGCTGAACATTTCTCAAGGGTCATGGAAAGCTTCTTAAACTTCAGTTAAGGAATACATTGGAGAGAGATGAGAAATAAGGAAAATCAAGTTTACTTGAAGGTAGAGAAAAATCTAAGTAGCTCTGTAGTATGAAGTTCAAAAAGCTAAAATGACACAGGAAGGATGAGAGAAAAGCAGATGAAGCAGATGTAGGGAAATAAATACAGGAAATGCCTTGACAAAATTTTTAATATTCTTTCCCTCCCTATTTCAAAGGAACTTGTTTTAAAAGGAAATTCAGTCAAGTACTGCTAGCTAGAGAAAGATCTTTGGAAAAGTAACCAAAGGAATTGTGGCTAGCCAGACTTTGTTTTCGTTGCTTAATGGAGAAATTTACACTTAAGTGCTTTCATTTTGATTAAGAACGTATAGTTGAAAGCGGAACAAATACCTCTTTCACAAAACATGCCTCACGATTCTCTTCTTTGCAGCACTGTTCCCTCATGGCAGTAAAAGCCACGGTGATGGAAGTCAACTGCTCCTGTGTGATCTGGGGCTTGTATTTGATGAGGTTGATGAGCATTCTGCAAGGAAAGCAAAGTCCTGTGAAGCTGGAAGGTGAGCGCACAGCTTAAGAAGCACTTCTCAACCACTAGTCCAGTAAGAGCTTTGTTTTCTTATTATCCACTTGCTTTCTATAGCTTTTTTTCATATTTATGAAACAACCAGGCAGGTATTTGCACTGGGAAGCATCTCCCTGTTCTGTGAAGTAAAATAGTAGTGCTTGTTTTTGAAGTTTTTCCACCAGTAATATCCCTGAACAAATCATACAGATTTGTGTTGTTACCGCTCGAGAACGTCCTAGACAATATAAGTTTAATATAGCATAAGTTATCCAAGGTAACTTGTTTTTCCTTGTAGTGGGAGGTCCAGCATGACAGTTCTCTCTGACAAAGGCAAACAAGCATTCAGAGATTGAAGGAGTGCTTGGACTGTGGATAAATACATAGGCTGTCTCACTGAGAGATAAGCTTCAGTTAAACCATAAAGGTCATGCATTAGCTTCCTTGTTCTTCTGGTATGTTTTTAGGATATGACTTTCACAGTTACTGTAGAGGACAGTGTGAGGAACTAACTTCAGGCACTTACTGCTTCATATCTGGTGCTGTATATACCAGTACAGCTACCCACCTCTGAAAAATGACTTTCTTCTAATTAAAGGCAGATAAATACAGGTTCAACCAGACTGCAAAAGAAACTAGGACAAAGATAAGAAGAAAGAAAAGCAGTTAGGTAGGTGTGCTGCTGAGGCTGGACATGGCTGCTTTCCAAGGCATTTTATAGAAGGCAGGCAAGTACAGTGGACAAGGGAAAGGTAAGCATTGCCAGGGTAAAAATAAGGAACACGGGTAAGAGAGTGAAAGAGGTATGCCTTACTCCTGCTTCTTGTGCTGTAACTTTTCTTCTTCAGTTGTACACAAGTCTTCATGGAAAGTGAATAGATCAGGTGTTAATGATAATGGCACATAATTCTCATCAATTTCTAGCTTCCCCATGCACGGCCTCCTGAGAGCATAGGAGCTACTACAGCAGTGGCAAACAGCAGGGTTTATCGGATTGGTCAGGTGTCTTCTACATATTTCTCCAAGCACAAGATCCAGCTTTACAGGAAGAGGTGAAAAACATGATTTCATGTTATTTCCTTATTTTAAAAGATCCTTGATATAGATGCTGCTTTTAGTAAAGTTATAAATAATAACTGAGAATTTAAATTAAGCTTTGTCTGTAAGATAAAAGGGATTTTTTCTGCTGAATGTTTTTCCTGAATTCTTTCTGCTAAATGGATTGCTTGCAGTGCATACTCACAGAGAGTAATTTAAGCATTGACTTCAGTGACACTGTTACGCTTACTGCAGATGTGTATCTGGAAGTACCTTTTCAGGGCAGCTTAATACCTCAGTGAGCATTTTGCTCATTTGCTGGTACTCCAAACTCTTGGACTTTGCTTGTAGTAGGAATTGACACAGAGCTTCAGAAAAAAAAATAGGACTAAGACAAGTAAGAAAACAAAACAAAAAACAACAAAAAAAACAACAACAAACTTACATTTTCCTCAGCACAAGGCAATAGCTTGTCCTGGCTCAACTGGCAGCATTTGGAGCCAATTGTAGTCATTTGCTTGGTGAATTTTATCAGCTCTGCAGATGTTAGCTGAGGCATCTTCTTGGTGAAGCTCAGGAGAAGCCTGAAATGATAATTTCTTTGATATTGGTGCTTACATTCAAGCAGCCAGCAGTGAGCAAGCCACAGCCTTCAACTGTGTAAGGCTCCAGCCAAATCCCACAGCAGAACACTCATTCCTACTAGGGCAGAACTCAGCCTGGTGTTTATAGACTCGTAGGCAGGTATAAGCATGTTCCCTGTGAGATCTCTCCTTTTTCTGACCAGTCTCCTACCAGGCTAAATGAAATTAATGCTAACGTTGCTGTTTATATTTTGGTAGGCTCTCTTATGAAATGGCATATTATGAAATATTTTCCCTGCATTGTTCACTTTCCTGGGAGTGCAGGGAGCTTGTTTAGAGGCAAAACTGAACTCAGGTGACTTCTTGGCAGAGCTGATCTCAGCAGGAGATAAGCTAAAAAAAATTGATTTTCCCACTTAAAAATTGTGCTTATTAGCCATGGTGGCCAGGGGAGCCATAAAAACTGGTACACTAGGCAGAAGTAGCATACTGGGTTTGTTGGAAACCTCTAGTTCCGTAAGTCTTTTAAAGATTGAACATGCCCAAGAGTACAAAAAACTCTCTCTATCTTTCTCCCCAGACAAAGACAGCAGAAGCCTAACTTCATGCAAGCTGTTTATAGATTTGAAATTACTTACATACTTTGTTAGGCACGTATTCATTAACATTGCAAATCAAGGCCAGAATTCCTGCAGGAGGCTTGTGCCTGCATGTTGCATTGAAGCACACAGCACGCAGCTAAGCTAGTCAGGTTTTCCTCTGTCTACTGCAGTTAATTTTTTGTTACAGTTGTTAGTATTTACATTTGCTGCTGGAATTAGAGAAAGGTCTTTTGCAAAAGACGCAGAAATGGCCTTTTAGCCAAATTTATGACTCTTAAGTTACATCTCACAGCTCAAAATGCAGTTATAAAGCAAAACAAAAACAAAAAGCACCAATCCATAGCAAAAGTGAATGAGAGATTGAAGAATTTGTCATTTCACTGCCTCAGGAGCCGGGTGAGGACAGAACTTTGTCTTGGAAGTTAGAAGGAAAGAAAATCTTAAAACTTATTGGACCAAACATTCAGTCTTTTAGCCCAGCCTTTTTCTCATCTATGAATTAATTCCAGCCTACATTGTGTCCTTCTGGTACAGGCATTAGGTAAGCAGATACATATTTTAAAAACAAAAGATAAATACTCGTTTTGGAAATAGTAATCTCCTTTCTCCTTGTAAATGTCACAGCTTGTCTTCATCACACTTTCAGTTTCATAAATGTGTTTCTTCAGTTCTTCTTCCTGAGGAAACAAAATTAATTTAGGAATCACTTTATCAGTGGGAATGCAGAATGTCCTATTGCCTTATGATGAGGCCTTGATCTCCATAGCTGCCTCTCACCTGAAATGCACCACTAACCACTAAGTTTTAATTTCATTAGAAACCTGTCTAAAACCTCTAAAAACTGCCTGAATGTGACAGAAGTCCACTTCAATCATCTTTAAATATTAGTTCTATAAGTAATGGAAGGCTAGGTTTGAGACAGAGTTGCTCCGAACTTCAGACGTATACAGTGCAGGTGTCTATATCTGAGACTGGCTTGGAAGGGATGTTAAAGCCCACCCAGTTCCAATCCCCTGCCATGGGCTGGTTGCTACCCACGAGACCAGGCTGCCCAGGGCCCTATCCAACCTGGCCTTGAACACCTCCAGGGATGGGGCACCCACAGGTCTCTGGGCAGCCTGTGCCAGTGCCTCACCACCCTCTGTGTAAGGGTCTTTTCAATTTGCAAGTTGGCAAGTGGTGCTGCAGGGGAGCCTAACAGAGAGTAGGGGCTCACAGAAATGCTATCTCCATCCCCCTCACTGGCATCTCTATCTATCCATGTTAAGTTGTTATAGCAGCAGCAGCAGCTTCTTGCAAAATATCCACAGAGAGAGGAGGAGGCTGGATACCTGAAATCAGACATGCACACCAAGAGAAGGTTTTTTCCCGTCCCATCCCCAGTAGCTCTAGTACCCACACAAGCACTGCTTACGCAGAACTAGCTGTGTATTGTGTAAGGCACTTACCCCTCTGCTGCAGCAGTTGTCTGGAGAGCCGGTTTTGCAGCACTCATCCAGTAGGTCCTCATATCCTTTACCTATTCTTAAAAGCATTTGAGCAGAAAATTCAGGGTGTCTTCTGGAATATTCATAGAGAAACCTGCAATATGTATGCATTGGGAATTAGCAGTAAGACAAAACCATGGCTTTCAGGAGACCGGGGATGGTAAGGACAATAGCGATAGGGATGCTTTTGGGTTGCTTTCATCTGACCTTCCATGTAATGGGGAGAATTTCACAGAATCACAGCCCAGAATTCAACTTGACCAGAACATGGCTTGTTAAGCTCTTCCTATCTAAATGAAGTAATTTCCAGTAACAGAGCCATTTTTCAAAACATCTTGAAAAGATTAGTTGTCCTGAAAGCAGTCACTCTACATAGCATTGTGCTCAATCTCTTAGCTGCACTGTTCATAAATGGAAGTGATAGATGTTATTTGAAGTAAATTAATTATCTTTATTTGTGACTTGATACAGTTTCTGTTGCAGCTTGTGGCTTTTTTTTTTTTTTTTTTTTTTTCTCCCCTAGATTTGCTACAGGTAGGGTCAAGGCTTCGTCAGACAAAGAAACATGTCTAGAAAAGAAATGGATCAAACCTGTTGAACCAAGACATGAGCATCATTTAGGTTTGTGTTTTTATTCCCATGTAAGAGTGGATCAAAGCTAGATTTTGAGCCTAAGATCAGAACTGAAGTATCTAAATTTCACATGCATTTCTTCAGTTTTCTCTGAAATAATTGAGTCTTGTTCAGCATTTGTTCTCATTCCATACCCTCCTAAGGTTGTTTTTTTTATGAAGATAACTTGTGCAGTTCCTACATGACCATATGCTCACAGTGCAGACAAATCTGAGGCTAAATGAGCTGATCTTTATCTTTCAAACTGCCATCTGTAACTCAAGTAGTAGAACAGCAAAATTGAAGACTGGAGGAAGATGCATGTTACCTGGCTAAGTGGGTATCTTTTTCCTGAGCAAAGCGTTCACATATTCCTTTGTCTTCTATAAACTCCCTGACCTGGGGAGACAAGTTTGCAGGTTTGTCATCATTTTCTGCATTAACAATGCATTCACTTCTCTGGAGCAGTGGCTTTTCACAGCACTTTTTAATTTTACTTGATATGATGTCTTGGTTGGTGCAGACATAGTGTAGAATTTCTTCCTGAAAAGCAAACAAAGGAAGTTTAATCAGATTTTAGTCTTTTTTTATTTTTTATTTTTTTATTAGCATTGTTATCCCCATTTTACAGGCAGAGAAGGCGACACTCAAAGGGGAGAAGAAGCTGACCAAAGCTTCATCTGGCAGAACAGGACAGAAGTCCTGTTACTCTAGCTGCTGAAGCCTTTTGCTTTCCAGATAACCACCTAAACAGAGAAGTTAGTTATCTAGCTAGGCATCACAGTCAAGTAGTGAGATAGATGGGTTTGGTATGTTGGAAAAGCAGAGAGAACAGAGGAAAGGCCGATACATGTTCTGCTGAAAACTGCACAGAAAATATATGGCACAGCTAGGAGCTGCAACAGGATTCACTAAAACAGAATTAAGCCGTTTTAGTCACAAAGTTGATTTGCTGACTTTTTTTAAGACTTCATGACAGAAAAAAGTAAACTGGGATAATCAACCGTGTTTTTAGTCTGAAGAATTAAGCTCCGGAGAAAACAGTACAATGCACAAGGAAAAAAATCTGAAAACAAGAAAAAGAGGCGTATAATTTCTGCAAACTACATAAATATTAAATGTTTTACCCTATCACGCATACACTCCAGCATATCTCCACGACAGCAGTCTTTGTGCATGTTAGCAATATCCGACACAAGTTTGGTAACAGTAAAAAAATCAGCTTTAGGGAATTTCTGGCTTATCTGCACAAGTTTCCTAAAACGAAGAAAAATAGTTATTGCTAATATTCACAATGTGAGACTGTGATAGCTTCCATTACTTGTCTTTAGAGGGCTGTATGCAAACTGGTCAGAAATGGCCTGTTACTGCCGTCACTGATACTGATTAAAAAATGCCACTTGAAGTCAAAGGCTGAGATATTCAGAGTTATCGAAGGATCTCCAGTGAAATTTAGTGTGAGAAAACAAAGAAATGTGGTAGGTGAACATGAAATTATAATAACAATCTTGTGTCTTAAGTGAGCTGAACTATATTTGGCTCATAAACATTATATCACCAAGAGAAAACAGTGACTACTGTCATGCATCAATTTGTACTAGTCCATTTGCCTTGTTAGGTGCAACTGGTGGCCTGCACAGAAAGACAATGTTGCAATATTCACATCCATTGTATTGTGTGCAGGTGCAGATCTGCTTTCGGCCTACATATGATATCCACACTGTATTTCAAAATGCGTGTGCCTAAGGGACTCTCGTGAAGCAGCCAGGAAGCTCTGGAACAAGCAACATGTTACATCTTAACAATGAGTGTGGCCAGTCTACAGCCAAAGCAAACAAGACAAAGCCTTGTTTGGTGAGCGTCAGGAAGACTCACAAAGCCCTTATGGTCCGTTCTCCAAACTTCTTCAGGATTCCACATGTGTGTTCCTGCCTCAGGCCATCTTCTCTGATGGGCTTCACCACCTTTGGGGCCTAGTAGAAAGATGATACAGACTGTGAAAATGGAAGAGAGTCAAGAAAATGCTTTGTGGTAAAACTACTGATTTAAGTAGTTAAGTAGCATTCAAGTCATATTTCACCCTGTCCTTAGCAGGGTGGATTCTAACATCAGATGCAGAGGCTGAAAAAGAAATAATCAATAGCTCTGCTTCAGCATTTGTTTCGTTATGGGAAAGCCACTGGTCTCATGCTACAAAACCAAACCTTGCTTTGTAATACCTGTCTCCGAAAGCATTCCTCCAGGTTATGAGTGGAGTCTTCAGTACTTCTGCAGCAGTCCTTCATCATCTCATCATAATGGATAGCAACAGAAAGAATTGTTGGGGCATAGAGGAAAGGATGTCTTCTGGAAACATCATAGATAAAACTAAAACAGAGATAAATGTCTTCACTATCAGATTAAGCCCCGAAACGTAGGGAGCTGCAGTGGTATTGTAGTATCTGCTGAATTATAGCTACTAAAAGCATCTGTTTTTTTTGTCAAAACAACAAGCTGTATGATGTAGTGTGTCTTGGAAGAATTCTGATGAGGCTGGCACTTTTCTGGAAATTAAAGGCTGAGATCCTTCCAGTTCTTGTCTAGAGGCAGCAGAACATCTGCTTGGCTTTTAAGGACTAAAGACAAATCCCTAGTATCTCAGATGAATGCTTTATTTAAACTACAGTGAGATAGATCAGATTGTTTTATGTTTGGACCTATATTCAAAGTAGGCTTTGGTAGAACAGGTTTCACATGATGACAAATAGACCTGGATGAATTATTCAAATATTTATCATTAGGAAGAAAAAAGAGGATGGCTCTACAGCAAGTCTCATTGAACTTTTTGGTTGATACTGCATTTGTGATCTCAAGGCTCATAACCATCATATGCAAGCAACAAATCTATGAGTTATTTACTTACTATCCTGGTAATGAATGGCGATGCTCTGAATAATTTTTGCAGGCAGCTTCAGCATTTGGCCTTTCAAAAGGTGAAATGAATCCTCTTGATGAATTTTTAAGGGACAGGAAGCAATCATTTCTTTCAGGGTCCTTTTTAGCACAGCAGTCAGTAAATCTAGGAAGATTGTCCTCCTGGCATATTGTATTGAGGAAGATCCTGTCCTGTGAAAAATTAGTAAAAAAGCTAATGTGTGTGAGGATTCTATTTCACCCCTGTGAGGTTTCTGAGGAGACTTTTTAACCCAAAAAGCCCTAATTTGCGTAAATGTATAGTTTCTCTTTATTACTGCTGCTTTGCCTGCAGTGTCAGAGTGATTTCTAAAACACATATGTCAATTTCTGATACCTACTATTATGCCAAGATAGACTTTATAATGAGATAGTTTTCAAACATACTGTTCAGCTTCCACTGAACTTAAAACATTCATACCCTCATTTCTTGATTAGAGTCAAGATGTTTGTTTGATTTGTATATCTCAATGGGATCCATATTCTTTTCTAATTAAAATCAGTTTGTATAGTGACAAGTCTCAGGTTTGTGTAACAACAGTTCTCAGGTTCCTTTTTCATCAAGTAGCAGTGCTCAGGTTTGCTGTCAGTCATGCTTCAGCTGGGAATTGTTTTAATTCAGGATTTGCTTTAGCCCCATGTTTAACAAATAGAATAGTTGTAACAGAGTAATATCCATCTTCCATGATTCAATCTGCTGATCTCTGACAGTGCATTGAAGTAGACTCCACTAAATACTAGCAATGTGAGTTAATGGAGTGGAGAAAGCTCCTATGAGCATCATAATTGCTACAAATATCTAATCTGGCTTCTACTGAGTTTTGTTATAATAGCCATAGAAGCACAAGTTTACTAACATTTTAAGAGGTCAAGGATTTCAAAAGCTACTGTGTTATTTTCTGTGAAGGACTTTGTTATCCTTTGCTCATCTTGAGATGTCTTTTAGGTGGGAGTATGGAGAAAGAAAGAGTCAATAAGAGCAAGCATTCACACACAAGTAAACCATGTCTCCTAATATCTTACTCCTGCCTGCAAAAATGTATACCAGTACCCTGAAATTATGTCACTTCTGAAAATCTGTGCTGCATTAAAAGTACAAGCTTGCTTACCAAAGGCTTCTGACAGTTTGGATTGTCTCTGTCTACATCAGTGCACCTTTTGGCAAAGTCTGTTACAGCTTCAGCCATTTTAACCACTTGGCCAAATGTGCTTCCTTGCACATACTGCGCAAACATGATCATGGCACTATAAGAAGAATGGAGATCATTAAGAATGCTTCTGTCTATCTAAAAAATAAAAATAACTGTATTACTTTTTGCATGAGACAGTAAGAGGGCTTCTATCACCAATTCACTCAGGCTGGTGGAACAGGGAGTGTGCAAGTTGCAGTGCATGCTCATCTCCAAATGACACAAAATGCCATAGGGTTGTTCACAGGCAGCAAATTTGCAAGTAGATTCTTTACCCAGACAACTTACATGGCTTTAAAATTGTTCTCTTGCAGCTGAGAAAACCGCTGGCTAATGCTGTTTTTTTCCTCTGAAAAACAAGATAATTATTGTTTGAATAAAATATGTTTCAAATGCTTCATCAAATACTTTCCTTTTTTTTTTTTTTTTTAATATGCTGGAGTTTCAGAAAAACAGAATTCAGTGCCAGAAGTATTATTACTAAGGTGGAAGGCATGAGGCAATGCTACCTATTTGACTTAAAGGTGGGAAACAATTTGTTTTTGAGCTGCAGTGTAATTTCCCTGCCTATTTCATGTTTTACAGAAGGGAGATACAGTCAAACCTAGAAAGTGTTCAGCTATGATAGTACACATCACATGATTAAATAAACACCTTGGAAACCATTTTTTTACTTGTCTTAGCTATTTAAAAATGTACTTGATGATCATTTGGCTGCCGGTGAAAGCTTCCCTGTGTAGGAAATATGCAGTAAATTGAAGACTACCTTGGTAAACAGAGCTCCACAAAAAATCACAGAACTTCATCCTTCTCTATTAACTGGCCCTGTGGAACACAAATGTGTCCAATTTATCTGAAGATTATATGCAGATATTTTCCTTTGCCAGTGGATCTTTTATTAATGGCCAAGCCTAAATCCTATTGTTTCTTGAGTTTCTTGTTTCTTAGAGAATACTTTCAGAGACTAATTTTGAAATTAGGAGCATGTTCTCTAATCAAGATGGTTCTATCTCACACTCATGTCAGTAGTTCTGAGAGCAGTATAAAAGAATCAGGCAAAATAAAGAGTTAACCCAGTTTCCCTAAGTAATGAGGAAATGTCATTTGGGATGATGATTGAAGATAAATAAGAAAAACAGCAGTTGTTAGTGCATTTGAAAGTTCTAAAGATGAGAACATTTGACCAATGATAAAAATATATAATGTGAAAGACTCGTCAGACCTGTGGGAGGATTTCAGTTTTCTCTTTTTTGGGACTTAAAACTTAGTGCCAAATGCAGTCATCATAGCCTCCTTCAGTGGTTAGTGGAGAGTAAGACTTCTCCAAAGAATAATAAAGAGCAATTTCCTGACACAGCTACACTGAATAACTAGCTGGATGTTGCATCCTTTTCTTTACTTCAATGTCTTTCTCCCATGGACTATGCGTGGATGCTAGAACAACTGCAGGCTTTGCTTCAGTAGGTTTTGGAGTACCTGAAATTTAGTGGAATAACCACCCTCTTATAGGTTAAATTACCCTTCAGTGCGCATCCTCTCTGCATGGACCAGGCTGCATCATGCAGCTCATGGACTCTCAAGACATTAGGAAGTGATATGTCTAAGGGTGATCACAAGACTGGAATTATACAGCTACAGTTCTGTTGTGTATCTTTCACTTACAAGAAGACTCTAGTGTAAAACCAGCAGTGATAAAACAATACTAAATAACCATGCATGCTAAGATGCAGTCATCAGTATTATATGAAAGAACAGAATAAAAACACGAGATACGTTCTTACCTGTGTCCCGATAACTTCTAGGCAGAGCTCTGACTATAGTAAAGCTTACTAATAAAATAATATAAATTACCCTTCTCCAGTTCATAATGTCAGCCTTTGGCAGGGACAGAGATAGGTTTAGTTTATCTCTGAAAATCAGAAAGACTTAAGGCAAACGACATATATACTCTACCAAACAATTTCTGGTTAATCAAAACCCTTTTAGTGTCACATATAACATTAGCCCTTCTAGAATATTCCCACAATAATTAAACATACCATTATTTGCTCAGTGTGATGAACTGATCAACTTGTTGCAAAGAAATGACTTTGTAGATTCTTTTTTCCCTGAAATTTAGGTAGACATTTTTAACTTATCACACTTCAAACAAGAAGTTCAAACATTCTCTGTGCTTTTTATCATAAATGTAGATCTCTTCTACTTACAGATTTGTTCAAAGGTGATTGCTGTGCACAAGGCTCCTTCCTAACACGTTGCTGACCAAAGGATCCCAAGTTCATCTGTTACCCTGAGATTTTTGCACTCTTTCTTGCTGAAAAAGCCATCTTGTGCTTCCTTAGTCCAAGGTGTCATGGTGAAAAAGCTGAACTAAGTACCCTATAGAATATATTTGAAACATTAACAATTAGCATAAAAATGCATCTGAAATCTTCAAACAAAATCAACTTGAAAACTGAAGAAGAAAGGGGAAAAAAGATGTTTGACTTATTTAATGTCTTTTTTTAAAAGTATGCTACAGCATAATTGCGACCAAAATGGTCAATTTTTTGAGACAGAATGGCTTAAGAGAGCCATGGATATTTGTAACTAAGAGATGATGGACAAGAATATGTATACTCAGTTTGAGGGAGAAAAAAAAAAAAAAAAAAAGAGATGGAACTTTTTATTTCTTTAGTGAGAAACTGGCAATATTCTTTATTTCATTCTGAAGAAGGATGATGAGGCTTTTTTGATCTCACATGAGACAGTATCAAAAGGAAAAAGGATTCTGATTGAAGGTGTAAGCATGGAGGCAGTGTGGAGACTTCCTGATGCAGTTCCAGATCAGTTTCCTCAGAAGCAGCAGAGAGAGATACAGATTAATCCCCTCATTTTTATGATAATATTCAAGTGCAATCATGTTACGGAAAGCTATAAAAATAAGAGCAGGGGAGGTGTATTTTCTTGAAGAAAGGATTCAGAAGCAGATGAGACACTGATGCTAGAAGCTTTTTATAGCAGGTTTATAGAGTGTGAGAGTTTATTGATGTGTAATGTGCCATCCTAATTATTTCAGGAAGCTGTACTTGGCTGCTGAAGTGCTTAAACTCAGTGTCTCCTCTGCCCTTCACCATGCTTAGTAAGACAGTCAAATGCTTTTCACTTGTATTTGAAAATATTTGCTACTATGAGGATGGCAATCTACCTATTTGCAGTGAACATTCTCTTATCTGCAGAAGGGAAATGTACATATAGTATTTAACTAGAACAAATGAAAGAATTACGAGTTCTTGTTTTTCAAACCTTGCTGACTGAATCAGTCTTAGACCTGTGGAGACCACAGCTGTTTCCAGGCCTTCTTACAAACTGTCTTGCAATTTCAAGGGAGAGCTAAAAGCAGCTGATTGCTGCTAGGGTGTGTGGAGTTGTTAATTCCTATCAGCTGGTTGTGGCTGTGTGGCTGGGAGAAGCATTCTCAATAGACTGCTGAAATTCCTAAGTATTTGTTATTCTGTCAAGTCTTTATGTTGTCACAACCAAAGAGGGGAGCTGGTTCTTCCTCATTGTTCCTCTTTGGTTTTTGTTAGCTTTAGAGGAAGGCTCCTGTGTTTTTGGTTGGTTCCTATTCGTAATACAATTGAGTCATTGATTAGCAATCCCTAATTAAGCCACTGAAAAGCAAGTATGTCTCCCCAAAGTTCAGAAGCTTTAGTTTTTGTTTTTACTAGTGAGACCAGAATTTGTGAATTTAACTTTCACTTGTGTTAGCTACTTCATGATTGTATCAATTCTCTTTTTTGGAAGTCAACCTTGGTGCTTTCTGTTAATGTAAGTAATGCGTGTGAAGGATTCAATTATATTGCATTATGAACTTGGAGAGTAGTAGTCTTACAAAATCCTGAAAACTCATTCTAAAATGAATGATATTCATAGGAAGCTCGTATAGCTGGAAGAATTGAGCTTCTCAAGTAGTGAGATAGTTTGTCTTTACAAAATCCTAAACTGCTTTGATATTTGGAATTCTTTTCCTTGTAAATAATTTCCAGTAGTGAAATGTACTGTCTAGTGTTCATACTGAAACTTTCTAAATTCTTTTGTAAAGAAGAGATCATTCATATTTTTAAAATGTAATGTTAAAAAAAGGGAGCTGACTAGGTTTTATCTGATTAAATTTTCTGAAATGGGTCTTGTTTGGATATTGAGTTTTACTGCCTGCAGCAAATAAGCTAAAGCAACAGTTATGAAATGGAATTTTTTTTATTCCCCCTTACCACTTCATTTTTAGTGCTTGTGTCTGTTGTACATCCAAAGCTGGAGAGGCCTTGTCTATTCCTTAGGTAATTAGTTTCTTGGCCCAGGGATCCTAGGTCTGTGTTTCAACCATGAAGTGTCCCCTACTCAGACTTACTGCTCCACTGAGTGGTAAGACTGCCATGTCCTGTGTTCAGTGAGGTTTCATATATTCTTTGTCTCATGTGCTATTTTATTCATTTCAAGAAAAGGGAAGAAAATATTAAAAACAATAATTAGAGAATGGAACTTGCCCACTCAAGTGGTCAACACCTTGCTGTTGTAATACTTCATTGTCTTCCTGTCAATGGCTACATCAAACAAGATGAACAAATAAATACACGTGAGTTCATGTGCGTGTATGTGCATATACATTAAAATAAATGTATCTATTTCTTCTAACTCTTCATCAAAGTTGAAAAAGTGAAGTGATGACAATTTCCCTTGGTAAACCTCATTGGTGGGGAGTTTAATTCTCTATTTTTAAATAAAAAGAATCTAGCTGGTGTAGACATTGGGTAATGCGTGAGGAAACAGCCTGTGTAGTCTACAGGGCATGTGATACTGTAAATGTTTTGATTGCTCTGTCTGTAATGACTTGAGTTGTGGGCCCTTGTTGATCAAGAGATACACATGATATGATGCAGCTTGGGCTTATTTATCTGCTGGGCATGTCTGTACACAACAGTAGCACAGTTGCTTTTAGGATAGTTAGTTGCAGCTGTTTTGCCCTACCAACAGTACATGACGACTTTTTGGAAACAGAGGATAATTCCTTGCTTTGAAGGGCAAGTATTTGTAATGGTTGGATTTAAAAAGGGTGAAAATATAGTTTTATACATAGAGAACTGCAAGCAAAGAAAAATGGGTTCACTTCTGTAGTTTTTTGTTGTTGTTGTTGTTGTTTTTTTAATTGAAAACCCTAATCCTTTTCCCTCCTTATCTTCTAGTAATGAGTTCGTGGTTGAACATATAGAATTTTCAGTTAAAAGTCAAAACCAATTCAGCTTTTAATCCATACTATTCTGTTAGTTAGCTGCAGATTCACTAAGAAAATGTGATTCCTAAAACTTTTGAGTTTTTCCTGCAAATATTTAGCTCAAAACTTCACAGCAATTTTCTGTCCTTTCACTGTTTTGATGCACATGCATGAACAGCATTCTAAGTGGTCTGAACTGGCATTGTGCTCAGCTCTTCTTGCTAAAGCATACTGAATTTACTTTGAATACCAGGACAGTATTGGCCAAACCCAAACTAATTCACGTGAGAAAGCATGTTGCCACTTGAGGAATGCCAAAGGAGACAGGTTTCATAATTGGTTTTTAGGGTCTACTTTAAAGCTTACTGAAGAGGGTGAAAAGTTTTCCTGCAAGATGACTCGTGATGGTGTGACAGCTAACACTCACTGCTGTATCTGTGCCTCGAGCGTTAAGGCATTCATGGGACACTTGGAACATGGAACTTTTATACTTGTATATTCATACATCTTTTCTGTTGCACATGGCAAACCTGGAAGCAGAACAGGGAGGAAACCCAAGTTACTAACTTCATTGTTGCAAATGATTTAATAGATTATTTGGCAGTGCTAAGAATTCTTATGGTAAAGAATTACATTTTTCAGTCCGTGAATGTGGCTAATTGTATCAATCATTTTTGAACTTGTTTCACCTGAATGACTTTCTGGATTGATATGTTTTGGCAAAAGTACATGTCATTTGCCTAGTTAAGAGGATTCTGTTCAAATTCCCTTAATTTAGGGAATGAAAAGATTCATATTCATTATCTGGCTTCTCCATGTTTTTAGTCACGCTTAGGTATTTTGTGTGGTCCCTTGTCTAGATATGGTTTGGCAGTTTCCCCTTGAGAAGCATTCACCCTCTGGGTGTATCAGCATGTCAGCACAGGAGACAGGATAACCTTGCAGTATGGGTGTAAGCATGCCCAAGCCATGCACACCTACTTCCTGCCATAAGTTGGCAAAGATCTTTTCTGTCCTTTGGTTCTTTTGAGTCACTTGGCTGGGAATGAAACAACTTTCCTCACTGCTTTTCTTGGCAGTGCTTCTCTCTATGCCCTTTGTCTCTGAGCTTGTGTGGACATATTTTGCTGTGTGTTGTCTGAGTGGTGTGTTGGTGGAAAGTGCACTGGGTGCTTTAATGGTCCCGACGTTTAGAATCAATTGACACGTTTCAGGAGCACTTGTTTATGTGTGGGTCTGTACTGAAGCTCTCTTAGCATGTCTACACATGAGGAGGCTTACCTTTTCTTCGGTTTCTTTGACCCCAGTAAAATTTTGTGGTGTACTTGAAAGCAAAATAAGAAGGAACAAAGTCTGTAAACAAGAAGACAAATGAATACATTCACAAGTATTATATATTCATCAGCTTCAACTTTTTCCATTTTTTGCTGCAACGCTGACAGGATATTTAAGGAAGACTTGTTGCCTTCCAGTATAACTCTAAGCTATCCGATATCATGTGACTCCCAGAGTGATAGAACCACCTAGTTTTCTTAAAGAGGTTTAGTCAGTAGCAGTCATGGTCACCTCATTGTCCAAACACTTGTGATATTATTTTTACATGGTCAAGTATTTATCAGCAACCTATACTTGAGGGAATTATTTAATGAGCTTCTGAGGAGAGGTCTGGGTTTCATCCATACTGGGGGCGGTTCCCTGAGCTTCAGTTCTGTGAAGCTGTGCTGTTCTCCAAGGGATGCTGCAAGCAGCAAGAGGAAAAAACAACCATGTTATCATTGCTGTCTGCACTGTTCCTACTTTCTCCACACAGCAGATTATCAACCTTTTACTTGAATATTTCAAGGTATAGAATTTCAATTTTCCGTCTAAAATGACTTTGATCAGCTCTGTGATATAATGACTGAGTAGTGCTCTGCCAATTTTACTATTCCCTTAATTCTTCCCTTCCATGTCATTCTAGGACCATGTCAACAATAAAATACACATTTTCCAGAGAATGCAAAAGAAATAATCAAGTAAATACATGATTTAACAATCACCTCAGAGAGCATCTCTTTAATAGCAATATTTTTTGATAGCAAAAAGAGGATAGAGAATTGATGCA